TACATCTTCACTGTCCACTCAAGGTATATGTACTGATAGAGCAGCTCCACAGGTTGTCCATCCAACTACTTTTTGTAGTCTGGACAATAAGCACTTTTCATCCACTTTGTTTTTCCAGGGTGAATGAATACCCTTGAAATTTGGCTTAGTAAATGTTTCCTATCCTCCTTTGCTTTCATGAAACTGTCTCCTGGTTTTCCTCCTACCTACCTGTCTGATTATTCCTTTTCTGAATCACAATCCAACTCCTAGCCCCTTTTGTGTGTGTATTCACTCTATACTGGTATACCTTCTCTTCTTTCTCTATACTCTATCTCTTGGAAAACTCATTGCCTCCCATAAGTTCAAGTATCATCTCTATGTAGATGAGTTCCACAACCAAGCCTTGCCTCTCTTCTGGATTCCAAGCAAACATTATTGACTATCTGCTCACTATCTCTTCCTAGAAATTGTATAGATGTCTCAAACTTAACACAATCATCATCATCATAACTAGCATTTGTATAGCACTTTAAGGCTTGCAAAAGTGTTTCAAATATTGCCTCATGTGATCCTCATGACAGGTGCTATTATTATCCTCATTTTACAGATGAGGAAACTGAGGCAGAGAGCAGTTAAGTGACTTACCCACGGTTACATAGCTAGGAAGGAGCAGTGTCTGAAGCTGGATTTGAACTCGGGTCTTCCTGACTCCAGACTCATGCTCATTCCACTATACCACTTGCTTGTGCCCAGATACACCTCTAGTTCTGTCTATGAAGTTACCAAACTACCCTCTTATGAGTAGTGTAGTGAGGCAAATCTACTTGCCACATGGAAAAGTACAAGGAATAAAGACAGAGACAGAGAAAAATAGAGACAGAGGATAAGAGAGGGGCAGGAAAGAAAGAACCTCTTTAAGTTGCACCAAGTGGGCTACTTGCCCTGGCTTACTGGCCAACCCTGTCTGACATAGCTTTGACATAGCTTCCCTCCTTCCTCCACCCACAAACACTCTAGCTCCCATATGTGGGGAGACCAAGAAACTACATAGGGTTAGCTAGGTCATCTCCAAGTGATAAGAGCTTTCTCTCAAGTGGTCAAAGCGACACAGTGCATGTTCCATAGGAGGGTCCCTACAAGCCCATCCTACTTGGGAACAGATTGAGGTACGTGGGGTGAATGAGGGTGGGAAATCAAGGGTGGCACAGAGGTGGACAGCCATTCGTGTCCTCAATAGTAATAGAGAAGTTAGGGAGAAATGTATTGAGTTTGAGATGCCTTTGGGACATCCAGTTTGAGATACCCAAAAGGCAGTTTGGCAATGGGAAACTAGAGCTTAGGAGTGGAAATTGATTAGGGCTTGAGAGAAAGGATTATTAATAACCAATGATTTGGGGAAATTCAGATTTCACCCTTTTTCTTTTATCCTCATTTCAAGACCTTAACCATCTCTTCTATCCAGACCCCACCCAGATGGGGAAGCCATAGTGCTCTACTCAGGTTTGGGTGGGGATAAATTCTTCTAATGGATTGCCCACAGCTGGAGGAAACTCAGAAGTAAATGACATAATCAAAATTCATTTGAATAGGTTCAGCCCCTCATTGTGATATGAATTCTCTCATTAATTGTTAACCAATCAGAGTTGACTGCCACCCTCAGGAACACCCCTCTTCCAATGGGCATATACATATAAGTTGTGAGCCCACCACCATGATTGTCTTTGGTCCAAGACAGAGACCGCCAAATGATCATCCTTTTATTAAAATGCTGGCATCATTAATAAAATGATTAAATTACTCAAAAATTATGTCTCTTGAACCTTTGTAAACACCACAGGCTTCATATATAGTCCATGGGAGAAAATGGTTTCAGTTGAATAATGAGATCAGAAACCAGATTGCAGAGAATTTAGAAGAGGATGAGGTGAAAGGAAGCAGAGGCACCAACTGTAAAATGGCTTTTTTGGGGCAACTAGGTGGCAAAGTGGATAGAGCACCAGCCCTGAAGTCAGGCGGACCTGAGTTCAAATCCAGCCTCAGACCAAACACATGACACTTACTAGTTGTGTGACCCTGGGCAAGTCACTTAACCCCAATTGCCTAAAAAAAAAAAGAAAAAAAGAAAAGGAACCGCAAAGAACTAGGATGAGGGATGCCATGAAAGAAATGTATGATCAAAGAGAGGCATGGGCTACTTGTGTGGCAAGAACAAGGGAAAGACTGCCCACGTGTTCTATCGGCATCCTCTCAAAGTCAAGAGAGAAAAAGGGAGGTCCCCCCATGTCATAGGGTGAGCTGTTGTGGGAAGATGGTTTTTTAGGATGGTCATGGACAAGAGTCTCACACATTGGGCTTTGATCTCTACACCATGAAGAAAATTCCCACAACTGACAAGATCAGTTCCATTAGACAATGAGTCCAAAAGTAAGAATTAATGATCCCTTTATTGATTTATGAAAAACACATTCCTCCTTGCATTTTTTCCTGCCAAAAGGAAAGATCTCCTTGCCAGTTCAAATAAAGCTGTCAAATGCCAAAAATACAAAGATGAGAAACTCATAAATCTGGATTTAGAGATGGAAGGGACCTTAAAGGTCATGTAGTACAATTGCCCTCATTTTACAGGTGAGGAAACTGAGGCTGAGAGAGGTGATGGGATCTATATGATAGAGCTGAAAGGAACCTCAAAGGTCATCTAGGCCAAACTATTCATTTTACAGATGAGGAAACTGAGGCCAAGGGTGGTTTGATGACTTGTCCAAATAAATGGAGGGAGGGGGAGTGCAGTGGAAGAACAGATCCGGAAAAGTAGCCATGACTAAATTTGAACAGGCCAAAGACGCAATGGGAGACAGTGTAATAACTGTTGTTAAAATGTTTTTAAATGCATAAAATGCCTTTCTAGGCACATCACAGCCTCTGCCCTCTCATTTTTGTGTGTCTTCTTTGTCCGCCTGGATTTTTACAGCATGTATTATGTACTGTGAAGCTATCATTATAATAGGAACATGGAGAGGGACACTCCCTTCAGCCAGCTTGGGGAGGCCAGGCTCTTACCTGGAGCTCTCCCAGGTAAAAGGGTAACCATGTGACCCAGAAACTTGGCCCTGATGGACCCCCTCCCCATTTCTGATCGTCGTCAGCTCTTTTCCAATGGACTACTTTACTGTGACCGTTCATGTCAATGTGGGAAATGCCCCAGGTCTGCATTTAAGGAACTATGTTTGGGAAAACAAATAAACAAACAAACAAAAACAACCTCATATTTACTCCTCAAAGAGAATAGTTATTTGCTAACTTGAAGAAATTGATCCAAGAGATGATAAGATCACAGATTCCTTTTGGCTTGTCATATCTTGCTTTCATGGAAATGAAGGGGTGTGAATCAATGGGAGAACAGCTGAATAAATTCCAGTATGTAGATGTGATGGAATATCATTGTGCCAGAGGAAAACACGAAAGGGATGGTTTCAGAGAAACCTGGGAAGACTTGTATGAACTGATGCAGAGTGAAGTGGCCAGAACCAGGAGAACAATCTATACAATGAAAGTTGTCAAAACTCCTATCAATGGAATGATCAATCAAGATTCTAGAGAACCTACGATGACGCACGCTTCCCACCTCCCAACAAAGGGATGAGGGACTTAGGGCGCAGACTGAGACACTTTTTTTTTTTCATACGGCCAATGCAGGAGAAATTTGCTTTGCATATTTTTAACAAGTGTTTTGTTTCTCTCTCTTTTTTTAATGGAGGGAAGAGAAAAAAAATCAATTTTTGTTCATTAAAAAAAGTTGAATTTTTAAAAAGAAGCAACAGTTTACCATCTTCCAAACTTGTTGAATTCGAAGGCCCTTTTTAGGGTCTAAAAATATCACAGGCTCATAGATTTAGGGCTGGACCTTAAGAAGTAACCTAACCCTAACCTCTTCATTTTACAGGTGAAGAAGCCGGGGCCTAGAGTTAGAATGTGACCTTCCTAGATGTGGTATAGGGATTGATTTAAATACTTGAGGAAAGAAATGTTTGAGCTTCTAAGCATATTGATTTATTAAACAATGCATGTCAAATGCATAACAAATTGGGACCAGGCCTCCTCATCTTGGCACTAGACCCCAAACATGGGGGAAGACAGATTTTTATACACTAAAAGCAAATAATCAATAGGCTATCAACCAGGATACAAGATTAGGTAATCCAATTTCTTTCTTTCTTTTTTTTTTTTTTTTGGTTAGGCAATGGGGTTAAGTGGCTTGCCTAGGGTGACACAGCTAGTAAGTGTTATGTGTCTGAGGCCGGATTTGAACTCAGGCCCTCCTGAATCCAGGGCCGGTGCTCTATCCACTGCGCCACCCAACTGCCCCGGTAATCTAATTTCTTTTTTTTTTCTTTAACGTGTGCACTTTTATTTAAACTGGTCTTAAGTCAGTGTACAGGTAAAGCTCCTCCCCTCCCCCAAGTACTGGCAGCAATCTCATAAAACTCACAGAGAGATCGTAAAGTCTTCATTCACATCTATGTTGGGGGCAGGGAGGGAATTTAGGGGGCTGTCCATTATGGCTGACAATTAAAAAAAAAGGAACACGTATTAAGGCGGAACATACAAAAAGTTTTTTTTTAAAAGGATTACATAATTTACATGTAAAGCAGTACTAGTACCTTCCCTCCCTCCCCCCTCCCCATCTGGATTTTTGTTACCTAGCTCCTTTGCTCTAGCAGAGGACAGCCTTCATAGAGGCTAGTAACTCTGTAACAATGCATCACACAATATTTGGAATGATTATTTAAAAAAAAAATAACAAATGTACAATCAGAGTCCTGAAGATGCATTGTAGAACTTTGGGGATGTTTGCCTCCAACATACTTAGACTGCTCGTTACCTTCACCGTTCCTGTTTTTAAATCCTGAGTCAAGCGCCAAAAAACCCCCCAAAAAACAAACAAAAAACCAACCAAATAAAGCCATGCCAATCTCATCTCTTTTTTTGGGGAGGGGCAATTATCATGTCACACCCTTTGACAAAAAAAAAAATAAAAACCACAAACAGTCCATTTAGAAGCATTTGCGGTGGACAGTGGAAGGCCCAGATTCATCATACTGCTGCTTGCTGATCCACATCTGCTGGAAGGTAGAAAGAGACGCCAGGATGGAGCCTCCAATCCAGACAGAGTATTTACGGGCAGGTGGGGCAATGATCTTGATTTTCACCGTGCTGGGAGCTAGGGCTGCAATCTCCTTCTGCATCCTGTCAGCAATGCCTGGGTACGTGGTGGTACCACCAGACAATACAGTATTGGCATACAAATCCTTACGGATGTCAACATCACACTTCTTGATTGAGTTGAAGGTAGTTTCATGGATTCCACAGGATTCCATACCTAAGAAAGATGGCTGGAAGAGAGCTTCTGGGCATCGGAACCTCTCATTGCCAATGGTGATAACCTGACCATCGGGAAGCTCATAGCTCTTTTCCAGAGAGGAGCTAGATGCAGCAGTGGCCATCTCCTGCTCAAAGTCTAGGGTGACATAACACAGCTTCTCCTTGATGTCACGCACGATTTCCCTCTCAGCTGTGGTAGTGAAACTGTACCCCCTCTCAGTCAGGATCTTCCTGAGGTAGTCCGTCAGATCACGGCCAGCCGGAATCAGACCGAGGATGGCGTGGGGAAGGGCATAACCTTCATAGATGGGCACAGTGTGGGTCACACCATCACCAGAGTCCATCACAATACCAGTGGTATGACCAGAGGCATACAGGGACAGCACAGCCTGGATGGCAACATACACGGCTGGGGTGTTGAAGGTCTCAAACATAATCTGAGTCATCTTTTCTCTGTTGGCTTTGGGGTTCAGGGGGGCTTGTGTAAGCAGCACAGGGTGCTCTTCAGGGGCCACACGGAGCTCATTGTAGAAAGTATGATGGCAGATCTTCTCCATGTCATCCCAGTTGGTGACAATACCATGTTCAATGGGGTACTTCAGGGTCAGAATACCTCTCTTGCTCTGGGCCTCATCCCCCACATAGCTGTCTTTCTGGCCCATACCCACCATCACACCCTGATGTCTGGGGCGCCTAACAATGGAAGGGAAGACAGCCCTAGGGGCATCGTCTCCTGCAAAGCCAGCTTTGCACATTCCAGAACCATTGTCAACAAGGAGAGCAGCAATATTATCATCCATGGCGAACTTTGAAGTGGCAAGTTTAAACCCTTAAGAGAGAGGAGGTGGTGCCGCACCTGGAGGCAGGGGGGAGGCAAGTGCACGCTGGGTGGAAGAGCGCACAGCTACCCGGTAATCCAGTTTCTAAAGAGGAAAGACAAGGGAGTTTCCAAGTTGGGAGGCGGACGAGTGAGTTTCAAGAGTTGGGAGGGGGAAGAATGAGCAGGTGGACTTTTCCGGATGTGAAAGAGGATCCTCCTTAATTCCTACAATTAGCAAGCAGGTAGAATTTACAGGAAAGTGAAACTTTGGTTTCAAAATGGAGTCAGTTTTGCAAGATGGAGACATCAGTTTGTTTCACACAATTTCCACAATTCTCTCCTAGCATCCCATAGCTAGAAAGTGCAAAGATGGGATTCAAATCCAGGTCTTTTGGCTTTAAGCCTAGCCCTCTTTCCACTAAGCATCTGTAAGGCAGAATTTGAACCTGGGTCTACTGAGCATTAGTCCTGTGTTCTTTTAAGTGTTCCACGCTACCTTATGACATCATTTAAGCTACTAGTATCTGATGATTGAGAAAATACAAGACAACAAAATTCTGGGCTAAAGTCTTAAAGAAACTAAGGAATAGGGTTGGGCCACAAGGTAATGAGTGACTCAGGCTTTAGAGAATAAGACATACTGGAAATAGTTACTGGGCATTCTCAATACTGGGAATACTGTTATGAGGCAGGGGTTTGGTCACAGGCGGCAAAGCAAGAGCCCAATTAATAGAGCTAAAAGGGTAAGAAAGAAAGGAGTAACAAGGTTCATAATTTTGAACCAGGAAAATTTATGCATTAAAAGCAAACAATTAACAGGATATAAACCAGGATACAAGATGAGGTAACTTGATTTCTAAATGGAAGCAAGATTAGGGACTTTTGGTGTGTAAATTCACAAATTCTTTTTTTACAGAGATGGGATTCAAGATGTACAAGTGGAGGGTGTGGAGGGATGCTGGAGGAAAACCCTTATGTTATGCTATTTCTCTTCAGGTACAACTGGGATGGATGAGATGGACTCTGAGGTCCCTTCCAATCCAGAAAGGAGGAGAAGACAGAGAAGAATATGAAAGTGAAGAGAAGAAAGGAGGTAGAATATTGGAGGGGATGAAGGATGTGGAGGAAGAGGAGGAGGAGCAGGAAGAGGAGGGCTGGATAGGTCAGTTTGGAAGCCATATGCATGGAAGTGAGAGTTGACTTGCTTTTCAGCATCACTGAGCAGAACTCAATCAGGGTGGAGAAGGTAGATGGTGGGAATAAGCCAGTGCTGTGGTTTATAAAAGGATGAGTAGGGTTGCAATAGAACAAGAGGTTCAAAAGCAGACCAAGGTGTAAAACTGGTGTGGTTATCTAAAAGGTCAAGATTTTGATATCCCAAGGCAGAATTTATGGACATGGTAAAGCTGAACTCCTGGTAACTGCAGAGGCAATTATAACACCTGATGGGTTAGAAAGGCTATGAAGCCAGCAAGTACATTGCAGGGCAAGCTAGGAACCTCCATGCTCAGCATCTCCACATGTTTATCATCTGCAGCATTCACAGGCCCCAAGACCTGGGGAGCACCCCAATAAAAGGTGCAGTGAGCTGTACACATAGTGGACCAGAGCCAGGGGACACTCCAAAACATAGAGGTAAGTAAGTTTAGTCACTGTAGGCACATAATAACAGTTTGAAAACAGTTGTTAAGGCAGCAAGTAAAACTTGCGTCTGCTCCCACTTAATGCTAATTCCTTCATGCCTTGAATCCTAACTTTCATCAAAGATTTAAAGCTGGAAATTGGTTTAAACATCATCTAGTTTAAACCCCTCATTTTTTTGCATCTTATTTTTTTAATATAAATTTATTTTTAGTTTTCAATATTCACTTCCACAAGTTTTTGAGTTCCAAATTTCTCACCCCTCCCCCCACCCCAAGATGGCACGCATTCTGAATACCCCTTCCCCTGGTCTGCCTTCTCTTCTATCTCTCCCCCCTCCCTTCTCTTATCCCCTTCCCCTTCTATTTTCCTGTAGAGCAGGATAGACTTTGGTACCCCATTTCCTGTATTTCTTATTTCCCAGTTGCTTGTGAAAACATTTTTTTAAAACATGTTAAACCCCTCATTTTACAGGTGAATAAATTAAGCCCTGGAGCACCTAGGTGGTACAGTGGCTAGAAGGTCTACACTGTAATAGGGAAGCCATACCAATCTGGTGTCTGCAATAACTCTGACACCAATATGGCGAGCCTCCCAGGAATGGGGGACCACCAGGCTGCCTAAGGAGATGCAAACAGGCCTATGTTGGAAAAACGAAGCAGATTAAAGCTCTTGTGCCAATCATGAGATTGGCAATTCCAGGCCTGGGACCATGAGGGGATGTACTTCCAGTCTGGGTGAGATAGAGAAAGAAAGGGGGAGAAAGAGAGAGAGAGAGAGACAGAGACAGACAGGGGGAGAGAGACAGAGACAGAGATGAAGACAGACAGGAGGAGAGACAGAGACAGAGACAGAGACAGACAGGGGGAGAGAGAGAGAGACAGACAGGGGGAGAGACAGAGAGAGAGAAACAGAGAGAGGAAGGAAGGAAGGAAAGGAAACGAGCACTCATATAGGTGGCAAAGCGCTTCTTCCAAATTTTATCTCACTTGATTCTCACAACAACTCTGCGAGGGAGGTGGTATTATTATCCTCATTTTATAGTTGAGGAAATTGAAGTAAATGGAGGTTAAGTGACTTACCCAGAGTCACACAGCTAGTAAGTGACTGAGATCAGATTTGAAGAAGGGAAAAAACCCAAAATGCTAATTCATCCTTATTAGCGAGGAAAATGTTTTAGGGTTTTGTTTTGGTTTTTTTGCTTGTTTTCTTTTTGGTCTAGATCCATGATTTCATTAGTGTACAGAATTCCTGGAATGTACTGTCCCCTTTAGTAAGCAAATCATTTAACACTGTGTACAAATTATTTAACTGTAATAGCATATTCATTTTCAGAGTAAATAATTTCTTTCCTTACACTACTGGCTACAGTACAGGTGGTTATAAGGTTAAGGAGATCACAGGGCACTTTTGTTTAAGTGCTGACTGTTGTCATTGTTCTAGGTGAGCTCCAAGAATCTCTGCCACTAACCTCTGAGACCAGCCTTTCTGCTCCACTCTCCCACACCCCCCACTCTACTGTTTTGTAGGGGAAAAAAGTCCAGCCAAGTCTCAAAGAGGAAGTTTGCAATGATTTTGGACAATAGTCACCCAATAAATTCTTGTTGCTCGACAGAGCATCTTGGAAGACAGTTTGGTACAATGAGGGAAACAGAAACCATGGAATCAGAGGACCTGGGTTCCAGTTCCAGCCCTGACATTTATTACCTGTGTGACCTTGGGGCATGTAATTTAACCTCTAGTCCTTGGCTTGCTTCCTTATCTGTAAAATGAGAAGGATTGGCTTAAATGGTTTCTGAGCTCCAGAACTGGCTCCAGAACTAGGTCCAGAACTAAGATCCCTGTGAATACTATGTGTGTTAGAGGAAAGACCACAGATTGAGAGGCGGGAAGGACTTCTTGCCCAATGCCTTCAATTTACAGATGAAAGTCAGAGAGATGAAGAATCTGCATGAGTTCAGTGAACTTGGAAGGATCTTTAAACCCAGACCCTTGGACTCTAATCCAACATTTTTTCCGCTGCATCATGCTGCCTTAGTAACCCCTGCTCCCTCCAGATCTTACACATTTGCTCAATTTGTGACCCTGGACACTTTACTTAACTTCTGTTTGTCTCATCTATAAAATGGGGATAATAATAGTACCTATCTACCGGGGTTGTTGTGAAGATAAAATGAGATATTTGTAAAGTCCTTTGCCAACCTTAAAGCACTATATAAAAGCTAGCTGTCATCACCATCATCACCACCACCATCACCATCATCATCATCATCTTCATTATCATCATAATCATCACCTACTTTTTCCAAGACTACGGAGAGAAGGTCTCTAAGTTTCTGCAGAGGTTGGAGAGACTTCTGTAGTGGTGAGGGATGAAAGGTAGAGTCCTTGGCTGTGGAGGGCTGACCCAAATACCCGGTGGGGTGGGGGGTTCTAAACAATGAAGAAAGGCTACCAGTCTACAGATCAGTCTCAGAGAATGCCCAGAGCCCTAGAGCAAGGAAGCATCGCAACCACTTATATGGCTGAAAGAACAACTGCCAAGTGAGGACAGGAGAATAGGAGAGCTGAGGAATCTGGTAACAATGGCTCTGTCCACCACTTATCGCTGGATCGTCAATGCCAGACTAGAGCCAATAGGCAGGAGCAGTGACAAAGTAGAGATGAAAAAAGGAAACCAAGTTTTGGTTAGGTTCAGTTGGCTATGCTCCCCTGGGACCCCTCTGGGAAAAAGATCCAGTTTGACCATAGCAGACAATCCTTGCTCTCAAGAAGCTTACATTCTACTGGAATATTTATTACAAGGGCTTTAGTATTTTTTTAATTGTGGGCTGGAGATGTAGCAGGGAGAGAAAATTGCTTTTTTATTGATTGTACAAAATATTGGGGGTGGGGGATGTGACCTTTATTAGAGAAACTGGCAAGCAGTAAAGATTCTCCTCCCAAACCCCCCAATTAGCTGGGAACTTGCTTTGCTTGATTATGCATATATGACATAAGGGTTCTTTATTTTTTTCTTCCTTTCTTTTTTCTTTTTCAATGGGTGAAAGGGGAGAGGGAGAAAAAAATATAATTTTTAAAATAAAAATTTTAATAAAATTTAAAAGTAAAATAAAGTTTGATAAATGAAAATAATTTTTTAAAAAATAAAAGGTACAGAGTCTCTTGTCCGAGGTTCTTGTCGTCCCACAGATGATGACACTTTTGGTCCTGGTTCTGCCTAGGGTCCACAGGTTCATCATTGTAGCAGCGGCAGGCACAGTCAAGTTGGTATCTCAGAAATGGTTCCCATTTCTGGAGGGGTTCTTGGGCTTGTTCTTTGCAAGGATATACGGGCCTTAAGGGAGCCTGGATACATGGAGAAAACCCAAGCTACATGTGGATCTGTAGCACCCATGCAACCACCACAGAAAATCATATGCATTTAAAGGACCCAGAAAGAGGAA